ATATATATATATATATATATATATATATATATATATATATATATTATACATATATATATATACACACACACACCACAACATCAAAAAATGGGTGTGAGAAAGGTAAACAACCACAAACAAACAAACAAAAAAAGTTAAATCATGTCATCAGTTTCTTTTTGGGAGAACCATTTTGTCATTCATCTGAAGTACTTCATCAGTCTGAGGACTGCCCACTATATCTGTCTTATAAATAGCACCTCATTGATTTGTTTCAATACATATCCAATCCATATTTTCCATGACACTGATCTCATGCTGCCGATTTATTTCATGATGCTGTGTTCGTTCGTCCTCATCTGCTCACACTGACTCATGTTCGTGCTGCTATTGTGTTGGCACATTTTTTTGTTCTATTAGTGCTTAGTATATTCCTAGTTTAGTGTATTTCTTAGTTCATATCTTAGATCTTATTACTGTTTATTTCTTTACAATTTGCATTTTTGTTGGATGTAACTGGGGCCCTGTGTACATAGTTTTGTTCCACCTCATGTATCACATGTGATGTGAATGACAAAGCCACCTTAACCTTCAAATCAACCTGCTGTGGAATTCCCAGAAACTGTATTCACACATGCAAAAATAAATAAATAAAAAATGGTACCATCCATCCAAAACAATCTATCAACAATGCATCACAATACAATGTTTTAGGCCTGATAGGCAACTTGCTACTCACAGAAACAGTCTAATGACACCTGGCCAACATCGTAAAAAAGAAATGTTTAAAAGCTCAATCATTCATGCAAACAAGTCACAAAAACAGATTAAATCATATTGTCTGGACAGTTTATTTTTGGGGGCAACAAACACCAGCCTCCCCTCTTGCTTGCCCCACACTGGATCCTTGGACAAGGCCCTTAACCCTCATCATCTTCTCCCCGTGTGCTCTAGATGACAGCTATCTGCTCCACACAAAGAGCTGTGGTAGCTCAGTGGTCTGTGGTTACATCAGGAAGGGCATCTGGCATAAAAACAACTGTCATGTCTTGGTGCAAATTAGTTCATTGTGTGCCCCTGAGGAAAGGATCAGCTAGTAGAAGAAAAAAGAATACTCTCCATCCATCCATCCATCCATCCATCCATCCATCCATCCATCCATCCAT